CCCAACTGGTCTATGCCGGTGTTTATGCTCCACATGAGCCTCCTCCTGCCCTTCCTCAACTAAACCTTCAAGCATAACCTTCTATTCCTTTCTCCCTCATGTACCTATACAGCTTTCCCTTAAATACATCTATGCTATTTACCTCACCAACTCCTTGTGGTAGCATGTTCCACATTCCCACTACGCTCAGTGTGAAGAAACTTCTTCTAACTTCCCTATTTGATCTATTTGTGACTATTTTATATTGATGGCCCCTGGTTTTGGTCTCCCCCACAAGTGGAAACATCTTCCCTATGTCTACCCTATCAAAACCTTTCATCATTTTAAAAACCTCTATCAGGCCACCCCTTACCCTCCTCGTTTCAAGAGAAAAGAGTCCAAGTATGTTCAACCTTTCCTGATAGGTATAACCTCCCTCAGTCCTGGGATCATCCTCGTGAATTTTGTTGATGAGCTTTTGTTCGTGATGAACCCTAACATGATTAGATCGCTCCAGTTGCATAAATGTTAAGAATGATCTGGACTGTTTCTATGAGGGTTTTCATGCTGCAAAAGGGTGTCTGGACCTGATGTCTGCAGATAAGCTACAGCTAGCTTTCTGGAATGATGCGCTTATGTCTGAATTGGATGTTTGACTGGATAGTTCTTTATTCTCGTTTGACACAGAAAGTTAAATAGTCTGACTGGGTGCAATGTTTTTGCAGCTATACTTGGATTGTTATTAAATAAAATCACGTTTCGACCTTCTGGATATGTATATATAGGGGGTTTATCACTCTTCTTTTCCCAAAGTGGTTCGGTTGGGCGCCCGAATGGAATGCTAATATGTCTCAGCTAGATTTCATGTTTTGAAGAATGGCGAGTCAGTGGTATAAAAACTGTGCAACTGCAGTCTTTAGTAGGAAACCGTCTGACTAATAGTGACTGGGAGGGGGCAGTGGAAAGCTATTATACTATTCCAGTGCTGTGCCATCACAGTTATGCACCCAGTACAGCCCCTGATCTAACCAGCATGGTTTTGTAAGTGGTATTGAGGAGACTGTTATAAATCAGTGATATAAACAGTGGCTTGAGAATTACGTATGTGTAACATTCCTCCAGAACTACCACTTCCAGTGCAGGAATAATTTTGTTTCCAGATGTGCTTATTTTGTAATAATTTTATTATTTTTAATAAGCACTCCGATTTAAGGACTTTTTCTGCTCCAGAGGGAGAGAATGCACTCCACGTGTACGTAAGCGGTCGCGAACATTGTGTCCTTAGTGGTAACAATCTGGATGTTCTATCACTGAGAAAATAGCAGTAGTAACTGAACTAAATGAACCAGACAAATACTTGAACTCATAGTCACTGAGCTGGGTTTAAGGACGACTAATATTATTTCAGTCACCAGGTTTGAGTTCCACTGCAGCCAGTTTAAAGACACGCCCCAAGTCCTGCCTCCTTGTTTACATTTTCCATGGCCATATTTGGCCGGTGTGAAGTCTCCTGCATATCTGGTAAGACCAGTCACCTTCAGTGGGAGGAAAGAGCACAGTTGAGTGAAAGAATGAGGGGTTGCTCTGCAGAGCTTTTGCAGTCGTATAACTCTGGAGTTAAGTGGAGTTACCTTGAAGCTGAGCTCTTCGGAGTAATCCTTCATTAGCTGCAGTAATGAGACATGGTGTGAAAGGTGAGGCATTTGCATTTAGCAACAATTGTGATTTTTAAAGTCTATGCGTAGTTAAAGGGAAAAGGAGAGGATGAGAGGAAAGGGGGATAAAGCCAGAGAAATACTACCTACCTGTTTGTGAAAAGGAATGTAGCACTGAACAAGTCCAGAGTTGTCGGTATAGGTGAACATATTTTTCCCAATCATTTGACTTAACTTAGCCTTTCTCTCTGTCTGTCTGTCTGTCTGTGTGTGTGTGTCTGTCTCGCTCTCTCAAGTGCCTTCCCTCCCAGCATTGATCCTTTCCTGTCGAGTTTTGTACTCGCTGTGATTGGGAGAGTACAGAGAGGAGGCCAGGTTTGTTTACCTAGCTGGATTCCCTCTGCCAGGAATTTTACAAGTGTTGAGCGAACGGCCGAAAGAGAGCCTCAGGATGTGTTTTTGAATGTTATCAGTCTGCTCTTTATCACGTTTGCTCTTATTTAGGTTGTGTTTGCAGAACGCTCCTGGCAGCACATGGCGAGCTGGAAAGTTGGCTGCACACTGCGCCAAAACAAGAGAACTGTTTATAAGTGTTCCAGATTTAATTCCAGCCAATTAGTCTGATAATGCTTGCAGTGTAGTGTCAGCATTTTCCAGTATTTTTCTAAAGCCGTAAATTCTCTAACCGGTGGTTAATCTCTAATTGGGGATTTTTATTGTGCAAACAAGATCAGAACATTTCCTCACCTGGACAGCGGATGGCAAGTCAGCCTGTTCACATCTATGTTGTGAGTTGTATTGACAATGGTTAAAAGAACACTGAAAAGAAACTCCCAACATTTTATATTGATGTAAAATGAATTATACGGGTGTGATTATGATACAGAATCCTCTATGAACCAGCCTTCTCATGTTCTACCCCTGCACACAAAGATTGACCCATTTTTCTTTAAACGGGGAGAAAGAGCTTGCATTTTTATAGTGCTTTAGACTTAGAAATACCTCAGAGAGATCATTTAACATGGACATCTATGGCTCATCTCCCAGATGTAAAGCAAAATTTAATGTCAGAGAAGTGGCCAAGCAGTGGTGGCGATGGTGGTAGTGGAGGAGTTACAATGAGGGAGGGGGAGAGAGAAAAATTAAGAATGTTGTATTCTTAATTGCTCATATGGTATGTTGACTGCTGAGTGTGGCACTTAGCTATAGAGAACAGGAAGGTTTGATTCCCGGGCTGTACTGTGTTAGTTTATCTCAAGACTGACGGGCAGTATGGATAGTGCAATGGCCTCAGAGCCCTTGGGCTAGGGAGGAGAAATAACAGCCAAATCTACTTGTTTGTTTTAAAGCGAGTCCTACTATAAACTGCATATGTGTGGATATAGGGTCAGAATAGGCTTTAGACCTGGGGGCGATTGCGATATTTGTTAGTGAATTAAAGAGTGACCATGTTAATTTTCGTGCTGCCTTAGGTGAGGAATAGCATGACCTAGAGTACAGATAAATGCATTGAAAATGTGTTTCTAAGCTGCAGTTTTTTGCCCAGAATAATATGCTGAACCTTCACAAACTTAATTTTTCTCTGGGTTGTACCTTTCTCGGAAGGTTTAATACATGTAAAACATGTACAGTTAATAACACATAAATGAAACATTGAAGTGTAAGTCACTGAGAGATACCTGGATCTCAGTGTAGCTTGATAGAAGTAATGATGGTTATGTGGAAAGAACAGGAGAAAGGTGGCCGAAAGCATGGAAAAAGCGGGAGGTTTGGCAATGCGGAGGGCAAGGCAGAGGGACTCCGGGATGGGGTTCCAGAGGGTGGGGCAGAATGTTTAAACACAAGCCTATACCTATTCTCGATGATGAGTCTGAGGGGGTGCTGTTTTTGCTTGGGCAGTAGGGTTCCAGGAGGTCGCAGAGGTGGAGTGGTATGAGGTCATGGAGGTATTTAAAAGTGAGGATCTTGAACTTGCCCTCTGGGGGAGGCGAACCAGCAGAAGCTTGTGAGGGTGGGAGTGATGGGCTCCAGGAGCTTGTTGTGGTCGAGGACAGGAGCTTCGAATGGCCGCAGCTTGGGTAGCAAAGAATTTTCCCTGATTTAGAGCACCATTTCCAGAAGTAGATTGTCAGAACAGAGTTCCCACATATCAGTTAATAATGTAGTAATAATAATACTAAACCTTGCATTTTTAACCAATCTGTAATGCCAAGTGTACTGATCGAGTATTTCAGCCGTGTATGGCCACAGAATACAGTCATTACATTTTACAGAAAACTCAGTGGAGTACTTTGAGATGTTTCAACGTGAACAGGTGTTCTATAAAGTGCAAGAATTTTATTATTAAGGAATCCAGTTAGAAAAACTGCACATTTAAATGCTAAACTGCACAATGATTAGATGTACTGGTTCGTAAATATTGGATTGTGGACAGGTCGAGAAATAGAAACAAATGATCTTGTTAATTAACTTTGGAAGTCTAGGCATTTATTTGCCTTTGCCAGTATACAAACATTGTGTGGATTTTTGTGCTGTGCCTTGAAATCATGTCCTCCAGCAAAAATGTTTACTGTCTGTGGATGTTGTAAGCTCTTAGTTATGATGCCTTGAGGGCAAAAGTCATCAATCACTTCAATTGCATCTTCATAGAAGATTTATGAAGCGAATGTCAGCAGGGAGATGTGATAAATATCTCCAGTTGTGAAGCTGACTGCCTGGTTCACCAGCAAGGAAGTCACAAATAAATGGCAGACAGCCTCACAAGTGAAGATAGTTATCTTATCTTGCTGCTTGCCCTGACCTATTCTATTCATAACCACACTTCAAAAATAACAACTATTGGTTTAAACTTTTTTATTTGATGAATGAAAGCTATGAGAGTGCAGCTTATTTTAACGATTTTCTGGGTGCATCAAAACAAAGGGAACAAGCACCATCACTGTCTGGTAAAAGAGCTGAAGTGAAAGAAAAGTGGCAAATACAAGTCCAAACATATTGCAACTCAATATGTCACGCAGCTTGTTTACAATTGGAATTGTGCACTCATTCCAATTAAAATGTTTTGCAGCTGAATTCCAACTCATTGTTGGAATGAGTGTCCTACTTTGGGACTTTAAACTTACAAAGTCTAGCCTGACACTCCAGTGTAGTACTAGGGGTGCTCACTCTATTTCTGGAAATAATGTCAGATTGCCCCAGCAATATGAAAGCGTGTAAATCTTTTGAAGTTCATATTACTTCTTGATGTTGGAGAAATAATTAATTAAACCTTACATTTAGTACTACCAATAATTCAGGATATATCAGTGGTTCCGTGCCATTATATGCGGTCCGAATAACCAATTTTAATCTTTTTTCTTTTCTTAGTGTCACATACCCAAGGACCTATTGATGGAAGCCTGTATGCCAAAGTAAGAAAAAAAAGTGCATCTGAGAGCAACATTCCTGTTGGTGGTGCACCTGTGACAACTGGACCCGACCAAGTTGACCACACACTGTCAGTCAGCAGTGACTCCGGCAACTCTACAGCCTCCATACGAACAGACAGGACGGAGGAACATTTGCCACCTGGAGTCAAGCGGGAGCTGAGCCTGCAAGAGAAGGCTGATCTGGACAGGCTTCTGAGTGGGTTTGGGCTGGAGAATTCGGTACAATTGAAGGATATGTCGGAGACGAGAGTGAAGTACAGTGGAGTGCGTCACATTGTACCAGCTCAGGTCCACGTCAATGGAGATCTCAAAGCCAAGGACAGGGAGACTGATATTTTAGACGATGAAGTGCCAAACCATGATCTGCACAGTGTGGACAGCATAGGGACTCTCTCCTCTTCAGAGGGGCATCCATCAAACAATCTGGGCAACTTCAGTTTTCACAAGAGTAGTCAGAATTCCTTGCTGTCAGATGGATTTGGGAGCAACACTGGGGATGATCTGCACAATGCTATTGTACCAGACCTTGGTATAGGGGCAGAGACGATGTTTGATAGGACATTCGTCGGAGTTACCGAGGCAAAGAATGGCTTTCAGAGACCAAGAAACCCTTCGTTATCAGTGCAACCACAGGGTTATACTCAAAACATTTACTCAACTCAAACATGGGTGCACCAGCAGCAAATGGTTGTTGCCCAGCAGTACACCTACCCAGCAGAAAATGACTTGAGGTTTGCTGTGGCAAGCACTGCAGAGGATCAGAATGGCACCCAAGCACAGCCCAAGCTTCCTGATACTCCAGCAAGGGGCTCTAGCAGCAGGGATGCTGTGCAGAGGGGTCTTGGTACATTATCAGGAGAAAATAAGTTGCAAGACAACCCAACCAGTGAGGTTTTGTTTGAAAAGCCAGATCTCCTCAAACGTTCTGAAGTCAATCAGAGCACTGAAGTCACAACAAAGTTAGCATCCAAAGAGGAAGATTTGTCTTCTTCCCCCACCTTGGATATTGATCAGTCGATTGAGCAGCTGAATAAGTTGATAATGGACTTGGACCCTACGTTTGTGCCAATTCCTACGCGCGTTAACTCAGTGAAGAAAGGCTCCCTTATCAAGAAAGACGAAAACATTCAAGGAGGCAATAGTGTAACATCAGGACTCCAAGAACAAGCAGAAAGAGTTTCTGGAAATGAGTACCAACAAGGTAAATGGATTGAATGGCAAAATTCAAAGTTCCCTGTAGGAAGTGAATCAGTCACAGAATCAGAGAAGTAAATTTTTGGTCATTTCTGCTAAAGCACTTCATATTCATATTGTTTTGTTTCTCTGCTGAATTAACTTTAAGCTGTGGTACAATTATACGTAGGAATCCTGTTCTCATGCCCCCAGTATAACCCTAACTCACTTATAGCACTGGTGTTCAGCCGACTTCCCGTACTGGCTACCCAGCCTCCTGCGCTAAAAAAGGGTTGTCATTGATGTCACTTCCTAGTGCTGCGCATGTGCAAAATGTGAAGGAATTGAGGAGGAGGAGAAGGAGGAGAGACTGGGAGAAGTTGATCGATCCTAACTTCAACCAATTCACACTGTATATTTTACAGCATACACCCATTATGTTTTACATTTGCCTGTAGATGATTGTTGAGTGAATTTAATCCCAGGGTACTGTAGATCCCAGTTGGCTGCCTGGCTCAGTCGGTAGCACTCTTGCTTCTGGATCAGAATGCTGTGGGTTCATGTCCTGTATCAGAGACTTGGAGCTAATGGTCTCAGCTAATATTTCATTGCTGTGTTGTCGGAGGTGCTGTCCTTCAGATGAGGCACTAAACCCGGGTCTTATCTATCTGTTTAAGTGGTCATTAAAAATCTCTGCTACAATTCAAAGGGAGCGGGGTGTTCCTCCTGGTGTCCTGGTCAACAATCTTCCAGTTAAATTAGTCATTCAGATTTACCAGGATGGGTGGTTGAGGCCAGGACACCGAACTCATTTTATATTTTAAAAAAAGCTTGATTAGATGGGAGGATGATAGGGCGGGTATTCTGGAAGGGTGAGATCAGATGGGTCGAAAGGCTTTCTTCATTCAAACCGATCGTGTGATTGACAGGCTATGGGTGAGAGAGGGAGGAAGAAGTGAAGACATTGTGCAAAAAAAGGAAAAGTGGAGTAATTCTTGAACATACTTGCAGGCACTGTAAATACTATTTATTTCACGTCTACATTCCTACCTTACCTTTTCAACTGGGAGGCTGGCTGACAGCTGCTCTTTGGCTACGTGTCCATGCTTCTCTACAGCTAACTGGTTCTCTTTAATTTAGTTCCTTCACTAACATGAAGTGTTGTTGGTCGTGTGAAGCTGAAAGTTGTAAGTTCTACTCCCAAATCTGGACTTGAACTCACATAGAATAAGATGACACTCCAATGTGGTGCTGGGGGGATGTTGCATTGTTGGAGGCCCCGTCCTTCAGATGAGACGTTAAACTGAGGTCTGCCAGTTCAAATGGATAATGAAGATCACATGGCACTATTCAAAAAGAAAAGGGAGTTTCTCCCGGTGTCCTGGTCAATTATCCCCCAAATACAATTGGTCACGTACTTCATGGGTGTTTGTGGGACATTGCTGTGCACGATTGTGCTGCCATGTTTACTTACAAATACACAGTCACTCCATTTCGCAGTAAATCCAATGAAGCTCTTTGAGATGTCCTTCTGACATGATAAGGCGCTATACCAAATGCAAGGATTATTATTATTATAATAGTCTTTATTATTATCTAACTTGTGGCCTGTTGGCACAGGTCACTGGTTTAGTGCGTTCATGTGACAGCCTAAACTGAGCTCCCTAAGCAAGGAGAAAGGGGAGATTTTCAACACTCTGACACCAGCCCTGCTCGCTGCATAGTAAATGGACTGAAGTGTAAACTGTCTGCTGGAATTTTGATTTTCATTCCAGTCTTGAGCTGCTTTTAGCGTGACTTGTAAGGACTTTGGTTTGTACAACAAAGATTGCTGACAGGTACTGTTAATGTGTCCTGACTATGACTCTGAATGTGACATGTTGGAGCACGTGTTACATGCCATTGCTTATCCACAATGCCAGTTGAAAGCCCAGATCCAGTTGCACCAGGTAAGAATGGCTCAGATCCTGGATTAAAAGGATTAAAATATTAAGTGTACCCTACCCTAGCTTCCACGGCTAGTTCTAACAGTGTGCAAGCATTGAATAACCTCAATCAAGATGTTGCAATATTTCTGATCAATAAATTGCCGTGATGCAATTGAATCTAAAACGTGTCCGTGCATTTGTCATACTGCTAACCACCTGTGAGTATTTCTCAGGTACAAATGCAAATAAATTAGTGTAACTCTTAATGTGGCTTGCATACTTGCATGCATTTTAATAGTGCAGCTTGAAAAGGGGGTTTTGTATTGCAGCAGGAAACGGTTAAATACCCTCCATTTAGACGAGTGGGTTCTGGAATAAAAAAAGTTTGTACTAAGATCATAGGTTACACAGTTGGACCATTTGGGAAATTTGAGAATCTTTGAAATTGTAGCAAGTTTTCCTAAAGGAAATGGGGTATTATTTAAATGACTATAAGAACACATTGTCATGGTGTCTGAATAAACAGACACAGCACAGTGGCTTATTTATTCCAGTGAAAGTCTTTAGTCTGGTAGTGATCAATGACTTGCAGTAGGACAGTAACCAGGTACATAGCAGACTCAGTCTCTGGAATTATGTGTTATGGGTTGGGTCATGTTATTTCTGCCAATAAACAAAATCTCTAGCTTGAGACAGTGCATTCAATTATCTTAGCTCTAATTAAACCGACAAATTGGAATGAAAGGGCTTTTTTAAAACATACTTTACTGTGGTTCACTGATTATTTCTTTGTGTGTTTAGATGTATGAAGGTGAAGGTGAAAGAGCAGAGGAATGAGATTAAAGTGGATCGCACTAATGGCCTCTTTCTGTACTATAAATTTTCCAAGATTCTATGTATGAATTTAGGAATTTCCAATCTGGGATTTGTGCCCCAAATTCCTATTTAACATTCCTATTCTTTTACATTTTAAATACAAATAATGCCCCAGTTTACCTGTGGGATTGATGGCTGCTGTCACATGCATCCATATGAACCACATATACTAAACCCTTGCCTTACTGGACTCCGGGTAGCTCAGATTTGGGTATCTAGCCGGACAGGTCCCGGAATCATAACATTTTTTAAAAATCATGCACTTGTACACGTAAACTCTTGATGGCCACACTTTCCTAGCAATGAACACCATCCTTGCTGGCCTTCGACTGATTCAGTTTGAATCCTGTGATCAGAAGTTGGTTTAATCGTTATCTTCTGCTTGCGGGATTCAAATTATTACAATGCCTGTACTGGCATTTTTACGCATTGAATAAAACTGATGCTGAAAAATGCCAGTATTGATATTATAATTACACTTAGCTGGAAATTCTGGCTTGCCAGAATGGAATTCCCCACATTGGTCGGCCCGGCCAGGGTTTCTATCAATGGGAGATGTGACACGGAGAGGATATGTCATAGTCTGCACCATAGTCAATGTTACATAAAAGAAGTCAAGAGACAAGAGGTCGGGTCCAAAGGGGGCAGCATCTCTGCCCTCACACTCTGGAACTTTATCCTGCAATCCCTTTGCTTCACCCCCTCTCTTGCCTCCTTCAAGTCCTGTCTAAAGACCTTTGTCTTTGATTGTGCCTTCGGCCATCCTCCCCCACCCTCCACCCCGCCTGACCCCAACTCCCAGCTCGGGTCCAAAAACCCTTGATTGTCTAGTGCCGTAGGACATCTTTCCGGTGTGAAGGGCGCTATACAAGTGTAATTTGTTGTTGTTGTTTCAGTGTAAATTCATTGTAAATAAATGATGTACATAAGTGTTTGAATCTAGTTTGAAATGTAGAATAAATAGCTCAGCTATGTTACAGCCATTACAGCACAAGAGTTTAGTAGTTTGACATTTGGAGACTTTAGCTGAAAAACAGGGAGGAACCTATTATCAGATAAGCAATTGGGAAATTCATCCTTTGCTTTGCAAGAGCTCAGCGACTGTGTCCCTGGCCTCTTGTCTCTTGATTTATTTTATGTAATATTAACTAGTATGCAGACTGTGATATACCCTCTCCAGTGCCACAGCTCCTCTTGATAATTGAATTAAACTTTAATATATTGCAATGAGTAGCCTCCTGTAGGACATACAATACAATGAATATTAGCACAACCAAGCAAACTTTCACTTTGATATCTTTTGTGGCATTATGCTTTGTAGAAATTCAATTTAATGTTCTAGGTTGGTGGATATTTCTCAGTGTTATAAAGTATACTTTTATTTCCTATTATTTACTCTAAGGATCTTATTGAGTTGTGTTTCAATTAATTTATGGTTTTTGATGCATGTAGGTAAAAATTCCCAAAACGTCTTTGGGAATGTTTGGGTGTACAGAATAATGGTCAACCCACATTCTTACAGATGATGGGTTGTGGCAATCATTGCTGTACATGAAAATTGCTGGGGATTATGGAGTTACATGTTGAGTTTTGTTATTGAGTCACAGAACCAATAGAGTCTTCCAAATACTGCTTTCTAAAATTGTACTGGATCCAACCCATTGTAATTCTAGCTTCTGATGCTGTGCACAGTAGTTTATTATCTTCTGTTCTGATGCCAAAGCATGCCTTAGCACTTAGTGGTTGTCACATGATGGTGATTCAAAATAGTATGACTTTCTGAGCAGATGGTACTTGTTGTACCTCATTGCAGACTTGGTTGCTTGTTTACTGAACACTGTTGGCCTGAACTGCAGTGGCTGTGAAAGCTCCCTCTGCCCACATTGCATAGAGGCTTCTTGTTTCAAATGCCTCCAAAACCCCTGTTTCAATTTCTTTCACTTCTGTGGATGCAGCCGTTTAAATTGATGGCATTACCTCTTGCATTTCAAAAGAATATTATTTAATTAATCACATAGCCATGTCTTAGATACAAAATGCATTGGATTTACTATTTTTCTTTTCCCTTTAGAAGTTTGGCTAAATTTAATTTCATGACTTGTGTGTCTCCATTCTATTCAAAACCAGTTCAGCACATAATTTAGACTAGCTGTGCTTTTCAGAATTATCCTTGTGCTCCTCAGAATCTTCTTCAAGGCTTCAAGGTAAGCTTGAAGTTAGGGTA